CATGCCACATCTAAGGGCTGTTAAGCTGCAATATATGACATTTTTGTTCTTAGGTTTAGTTATGCTTTAGGTCATGGTCCCAATCATTCTTCGTGGCAGCTCCCATTGGCCTTGCGTATCCAATAGCAAATCTGAGCATATTTCGGGGGGGTCAACCTGACGGCCACATTATACTCTCTTGGCTCTCCTGATACTTCCAGCCACTGATGTCCAGAGAAGACCCCAATGACTTTCCTCTTCCAGCGGCCACCATGCCGCAGTCTTCCATAGACTCCCGAGCCGCTAGCTCCAGGACGGGCATCGCAGTGCTGGTACAGCAAATGCCTGGTCTGTTCCTGCACTCTGCACGATCGGTAGACCAGCTCCCCGGGCCTGTCGCTGTCAAATCCTGAGAAGTGGACACGTCTTCCAGCAAGATCTCCCAATGGAGGCGAGGCCGCTAGGTGCATGTAAGGATGCGGTTGTGCGCGCCGAAGCTCCAGCAAAGCGTAATCGTAATCCATGCTGAGTTCTGTGGGGGCGCCGATCCACGCTCGGGGTAACCTGGTACTTTGAACGCGTACCCAACGCAAGGCGGGCCTTCCTCCATGTCTTAGGAAACCAACGCGCAGCTTGCGCGCCCCTTGAACGTAGTCCTGACCATCGTGGACGCAGTGAGCCGCTGTCAGGACGTGGCGTTCGGTCACCAGCACGCCGGTGCAACCCGTGGACAGGCGAACGGCCGACGCGAAAGGGAAGTCTCTCAGAAATGGACGGCTGATGGAAAATCGAACGTCCGGCCCGTAAATCTGCCTCCGCCTTCGAGAAGACTTGGCGTTCCTTTTCCTCGAATGCCTTCCGCCGCCCCCTGGCGTTCTCACCGAAACCGTAGTCAACATTCGGCTTCCGTTGGAATACACGGTCTCGTAGTCCAGCTGATGAGCCTCATGGAATGTCTCTGGCTGGGATTCATGCAGCAAGCACTGCTCTCTGCAGACCGTGGTGAACTCCGGGGTGCCGTTGGCTGTGAAGTGTGACGGAGCTAAAAGCAGCGTCTGTCCGGCCGCCAGCTCCATGACTGGCAGATGGCAAATGGCAATGGGGAGGGCGACCAAGCAAATGAGTGGAATTGATGAGAGCCAGACATTCATCATATTAATACCACTGCAGGGGAAAGACAAGAAAGTAAAGTCACATTATGATATGTATAATCAGGAAAATCTTAGAGAAGCTTTAACATGCTCATTTATCACATTGTATCAGTCTGTAGCTTTATAACAATCTCTGGTGATACTGCTAGGAAGGCCCTAGTCAAAGGGTGAAAACACTCTGCTTTTCTACAGGCACTTCCTGTTATAGGGGGACAACACTCTGCGCTTGTACAGGCACTTCCTGTTATAGGGTGACAACACTGCTCTTGTGCAGGCACTTCGTGTTACAGGGTGACAATACTTTGCCCTTGTTCAGACACTTCCTGTTATAGGGTGACAATGCTTTGTCCTTGTTCAGGCACTTCCTGTTATAGGGTGACAATGCTTTGTCCTTGTTCAGGCACTTCCTGTTATAGGGTGACAATGATCTGTCCTTGTTCAGACACTTCCTGTTATAGGGTGACAACGTTTTGTCCTTGTTCAGGCACTTCCTGTTACAGGGTGACTATGCTCTGTCCTTGTTCAGACACTTCCTGTTATAGGGTGACAATGCTCTGTCCTTGTTCAGACACTTCCTGTTATAGGGTGACAATGCTCTGTCCTTGTTCAGGCACTTCCTGTTATAGGGAGACAATGCTCTGTCCTGTCTCCCAATTGCTCTTCTGCATTGTCACCCAGTCCCTGGCTTCTGAGGGAGACTACAAAGTGTCTGTTTCAGCACACATTACAAAGACATTGTCCACTGTTGTCACCATCAGTAAACCCGCCCTGAGAAATGTCATGCAGCCATCACTGGAGGTGGCTGCAAATAGGCTGCAGGAGATCAACAGCACTGAACAAATAAGAAAAAAAGGAATTATTTAACAAAAACCTGACAATTGTATATGAAGCAGAGTGCACAGAGCAAAGTGAAGTCATTTACTTAGGGGGGTCTGTGTATTAAGCAGAGAATGTGACTTTCACCAAACATTCTCAGAATAACAGAGATTGATTCTCCAGCAGAGAATGTTTGGTGAATGTTGCATTGTCTTCTTTATCAACAGACCCCTTAGTGCTCCCATCTATTGATCAGCCATGTTTCAGTGTACAGCTCAGTGTGTCTGTCACCGGTCTCAGATCAGATACACTGTATATACTCCGGCGGCTGCACACTGGATGTGGGGGCGAGTTTCTGGAGAATTGGAGGCGGCGGGTGATCTCCATCCCGCAGAATCAACGTTCTACAACTGCCTGGAAGCGTCCTTCAGTCAGCGCACCGCGCTCCGCGAGGAATGCACATATTTCTTACAGGTATTTTGGCTTTAGGATAATTCCTTTCATATCCTGTCTACGAGAAGAGAAACATTTCCCAGGAAGATTCTCCACCATGTGAGGGATCAGCTTTAGTGAATGTTTTTTCTTCAACAGCAGATCTAATGAACACTTTATTTATTATACATTCCATCCGCAAAAGGAGATGAAAAATACCTCTGAGCCTGGCACTGAGTCCGACCTCTGACCTCCATAACCCTAATCTTCTGAATCTAACCCTCCCCCATCTTCCCACTGACCATCAATGTAAGGGACATTCTTCCCACTGACCACCAATGTAAGGAACATTCTTCCCACTGACCACCAATGTAAGGAACATTCTTCTCACTGACCCCCAATGTAAGGGACATTCTTCTCACTGACCCCCAATGTAAGGGACATTCTTCTCACTGACCCCCAATGTAAGGGACATTCTTCTCACTGACCCCCAATGTAAGGAACATTCTTCCCACTGACCACCAATGTAAGGGACATTCTTCTCACTGACCACCAATGTAAGGGACATTGTTCCCACTGACCACCAATGTAAGGAACATTCTTCTCACTGACACCCAATGTAAGAGACATTCTTCCCACTGACCCCCAATGTAAGGGACATTCTTCCCACTGACCACCAATGTAAGGAACATTCTGCATACTGACCAACGCTACAAGGGTGACATTCTTCCATCATACCACCAGTGTAATGGGGCTCTTCACAGCCCACCAATGTATGGAGGACCCTTCCCCACTGACTATCAATGAACAGTGCTCAACACCTTTTTAAAGGGGGCACATCACTGACCATCAATGTAAGGTGACACTAGTCCAAGGATAATCAATGTAGGGTGACCCTACTCCAAGGATCATCAATGTAGGGTGACCCTACTCCAAGGATCATCAATGTAAGGGGACTTTACTCCAAGGATCATCAATGTAAGGAGACACTAGTCCAAGGGCCATCAAAGTAAGGGGACACTACTCCAAGGATCATCAATGAACGGGGACACTACTCCAAGGATCATCAATGTAAGGGGACACTACTCCAAGGATCATCAATCTAAGGTGACTCTACTCGAGGGATCATCAATGTAAGGTGACCCTACTCCAAGGACCATCAATGTAAGGGGACACTACTCCAAGGATCATCAAAGTAAGGGGACACTAGTACAAGGATAATCAATGTAAGGGGACACTACTCCAAGGATCATCAATGTAAGGGGACTTTACTCCAAGGATCATCAATGTAAGGGGACACTAGTCCAAGGACTATCAAAGTAAGGGGACACTACTCCAAGGATCATCAATGTACGGGGACACTACTCCAAGGATCATCAATGTAAGAGGACACTACTCCAAGGATCATCAATCTAAGGTGACTCTACTCGAGGGATCATCAATGTAAGGTGACCCTTGTACGGGGATGTACGGGGACACTACTCCAAGGATCATCAATGTAAGGGGACACTACTCCAAGGATCATCAATCTAAGGTGACTCTACTCGAGGGATCATCAATGTAAGGTGACCCTACTCCAAGGACCATCAATGTAAGGGGACACTACTCCAAGGATCATCAAAGTAAGGGGACACTAGTACAAGGATAATCAATGTAAGGGGACACTACTCCAAGGATCATCAATGTAAGGGGACTTTACTCCAAGGATCATCAACTCCAAGGATCATCAATGTAAGGGGACACTTTTTCAAGGATCATCAATGCAAGAGGACACTACTCCAAGGACCATCAATGTAAGGGGACACTAGTCCAAGGATCATCAATGTAAGGGGACACTATTCCAAGGATCATCAATGTAAGGGGACACTATTGCAAGGATCATCAATGTAAGGGGACACTAGTCCAAAGATCATCAATTTAAGGGGACACTAGTCCAAGGATCATTGATGTAAGGGGACACTAGTCCAAGGATCATCAATGTAAGGGGACACTACTCCAAGGATCATCAATGTAAGGGGACACTACTCCAAGGATCATCAATGTAAGGGGACACTACTCCAAGGATCATCAATGTAAGGGGACACTACTCCAAGGATCATCAATGTAAGGGGACACTACTCCAAGGATCATCAATGTAAGGGGACACTACTCCAAGGATCATCAATGTAAGGTGACCCTACTCCAAGGATCATCAATGTAAGGGCACACTACTCCAGCGACCAACATTGTTAGGAAGCACTAACATTTTCATGGTCTATGTTTCTTTTCTGTCCATGACTATATTTATTTAATATCATTAAAGAAAATTATATTATGTAGAATTATATTATATTATGTTATGTAGAAAAAGTAGAACAGCCATGGATGTCAAATACAGCGACTCCACATTCTTGATTCTTTCAGGTATTTGTCATGCAATATCTACAACGTGCTGTTCACCTTAATGTCCCCTCCTCATTGATCTGTAGATATAACTGTTAGGGGGGGATCCCCAGGACCTGAATGTTCTTTCAGGGGTTCTCCTCCTCCATTGCTCTGTCATCTGGAATCTCACTCTCCTCTCTCTCTCTCTCCCCCAACACTGGCGCGGTGATATGATACGCCATCTCTTTGCTTTCAGCTGACAAGTTCATTCATTTCCCACAAAGTAAACGCTTCCTTACCTCTATGACAGGCCGGTGCTTTAATGGAAGCTCATCTTCTGGCTGGCCAAGGTCAGGCGACGATCACTCTGTCACAAAGCAGAAAGCGGAGGACGTTTTATTACAAAACTCTTGCAGGAGTTATTGAAGCAGTTCGGGGCCGGAGCCAGCAGAGCCGCAATGAACGCCTGAAACCCAGTATGACACTTTAGAAGGCGCTGAGGTCACAGAGACGCTTCAGCGCTCAGTGTCAACGTGAGACACCTTGTGGGCCGGGCGCCATTACCAATCGACTCATTACTCGTTAGTACATAGGCACGCATTGAACTGAACCAATAAAAAACTGACTTTTATATAATTCAACATTTTGTATTATAAAATGTATCTAAAACCATATCAAATATCATTTTTTTACCGCTACTCCTGTCATGCAGGTCCTTGTTCAGTGACTTCCTGTTGTAGGGTGACAACACTCTGTTACTCACATCTCACACACAGACACACAAAGGTTGAACTTGATGGACCTCTGTCTTTTTTTCAAGCTCACATACTATGCAACTACGTAACTGTCTCCTCCAAATTGTGCTCCTGTGTTGTCACCCTGTCACATGGGCTTCCGATGGAGACTACAAGTGACACATTACACAGACATAGTCCACTGTTGTCACCATCAGGAAACCCACTCGAAGAAAGTTCATGCAGTCATCGCTGGAGTCATGTAGACAGATGGAGGCTGCAAGAGATCAGCAGGACTTAAATGAAACAAAGGAGGAAAAAAGGTGCAAAAAAAGCATTTGTATAACAATTGCATATAATAAACAGTACACAATAACGGTTTACATCTCCAGTGCAATAAGTAATTGAGCAATTCACTGTATGACACAACTCACTGTCAATCAGCTAGGACTAGGGTTGCCACCTTTTCTTCAAGTGAAACCCGAAAAGTCTAGCGCCGTGCACGGCAAAATGTTTTGCCGCATATAGAGGAGACAGCCTATAGAGGACTACAAATCCCAGCAATACATTATACAGCAATACAAAATAATATGAAGCTACATATTCTGTGTTGTTCTGGGTTGGTGCCCTGGTGTCTCCAGGTGGGCTGGGGGCCTGTGAGGGCTCTCAGACGGTCTGTGTGGCTCTCAGGTGGACTGAGCAGCTCTCAGTTGGGCTGTGCGGCTCTCAGGTCTGTCTGGGCTATGGTGTCTCACCAGGGGTTCGCAGGCGGGCAGCACAGTGTCAGGGAGCCAGAGGAGGAGCAATCACAGAAGCGGTTGAGGTCCCCGGCAAGCGCAATTCCGGGCGGTCGCATCTGCCTGAAACCCTTTTTCTGAGCTGCGGGCGCCTGTAAACAGGCACAGGCTGCCCGCAGCTAAGAGGAAGATCCGGTTTCAGAGCGATGCGGCTAGACGAGATCACGCTTGCCGAGAACCTCGACAGACGCATTTGTCAGAAAAGTGCCGGTGTCGGCACTGAGTGTCTGGAGTCCGGGTGCCCTCTGGCTGGACACCCGGACACAAGACTCCAAAACCGGACTGTCCAGGTGAAAACCGGTGGCAACCCTAGCTAGTACAGGAGTAGGCAACCTCGGCACTCCAGCTTTTTGTGCAACCGCATGTCTCATGAGTCATTGCAAGATTCTGAGTCACAGGCATGACCCTCGGAGGTAAAAGCATGATTGGATTTGTAGTTTCACCACAGCTGGATTGCCGCGGTTGCCTACCCCTGAGCTAGGGTGTACATCATGTCTTCTGTAAGCAGTCAGTAAATGAGTGACACAGAAGCTGCAGCGAAAGACTTTGCTGCCATTGTCACGGCGAAGTTCAAAGCGTCAAGAAGTCATTTAAAACCCCCGTGGATTCAAATCAGAGGAAGGACACACCATAATGACCATTCCAGGTGCTCAGTCTGGATTGTCCAAGTCTAATACACCGTGCAATGGCCAGCAGATGTACTCACCTCTACGTGGAAGTGAAACCAGAACTCATTCCCCCTGTAGAGAATACCAGATTCCCGAGCTAATAAATAATTGTCAGCTCACAAAGCTGCCGTTGTTCAAGTTACTCCACCCAGCTGGACATGCTCGGAATATAGAATACCCCCAGCAGACATTTCTTCTATTCAAACCTGACTTCACTGACTTCCATCCAGACTGTCCTTTCTTAAATAAAACATTTCCAGAGTATAGATCTATGCCTGTCCCAATGTTTAAATTCACTTCCTGTTGACTGACTCCCTACCTCTGAGGGAAGTCAGTTCCCACCATCAAATACTAGTTTCTAAGGTTTGCTATGAACTCCTCTTGCTAGTTTGAGGTCATGGCCCTGTGTTCTCAATCTCAGCTTCATACTGCAAATCCTGCCCTCCTGAACCTTATTCATACCCTTCCTGTATATGAAGGTTTCAGTCATGTCCGCCCTTTCCCTTCTTCCTCCTGCTGGGGATCCCTCTAGTGATAATAAAGATCCATATAGAGGAATCAGGACCTCCTTCCTCCTACTGGTGATCCCTCTAGTGATAACTAAAGATCTATATAGAGGAATCAGGACCTCCTTCCTCCTACTGGTGATCCCTCTAGTGATAACTAAAGATCTATATAGAGGAATCAGGACCTCCTTCCTCCTGCTGGGGATCCCTCTAGTGATAATATAGATCTATATAGAGGAATCAGGGCCTCTTTCCTCCTGCTGGTGACCCTTCTAGTGATAACTAAAGATCTATATAGAATAATCAGGACCTCCTTCCTCCTACTGGTGATCCCTCTAGTGATAATATAGATCTATATAGAAGAATCAGGACCTCCTTCCTCCTGCTGGGGATCCCTCTAGTGATAACTAAAGATCTATATAGAGGAATCAGCCGTAGAGCTGCAGCTAACGATTATTTTCAAAATCGATTAGTTAGCTGATTATTAAGTTCGATTAATCGGTTAATCGGATAAAAAATAAAATACATTTTAAAAAATGGCTCCAGTGATGGACTACTAGTTTGTATTGAGATTGCAGTCCATCACAGCTCCTGTGCTTAGAGCGGTGGAAGTAAAAAAGAAAAAAAAAAGTGTGGTGTGCAATATAGTGAAATGGAAAGTGTAAAATTATACAGCAATGAATGCAAAATGGCATCGGCTATAGAGGACTACAAAACCCAGCAATAGTACATTATACAGCGCAATGCAGAATACCGCCAGCTATAGAGGAATACAACAAATCCCAGCAATAGTACATTATAGCTGGCGGCATTCTGCATTGCGCTGTATAATGTACTATTGCTGGGTTTTGTAGTCCTCTATAGCTGGTGGTATTCCGCATTGCACCACTGTATAATGTACTATTGCTGGGATTTGTTGTACTCTTCTATAGCTGGTGGTATTCTGCATTGCGCTGTATAATGTATTATTGCTGGGATTTGTAGTCCTCTATACAGCGCAATGCAGAATATCACCAGCTATAGAGGAGTACAACAAATCCCAGCAATACATTATACATACAGTGTATAATGCATTGCTGGTATTTGTATTCCTATGTATAATGTACAGTACAATGTACCATCAGCTATAGAGAAATACAAATCCCAGCAATACATTATAGAGCACCATGTGTGGGAAAGTGCAGGCTTACCTGAGCAGTCTTCCAGCAACTTGCTTCTGAGATCGGACCTGTCTATCAGCGGCTGTCATCCCCCCACACCTGCTCCTCCTTACTACATCTCCCCGCGTCCCTGTGCCGATCGTGGATGTGGGCGGGCGGTGAGTGTGAGGCGGGGAGGAGGTGCGGCGTGGATGCGGGCGGGTCTGGCAGCGGCGAGCGTGAGGTGGGGATGAGGTGCGGCGCGCAGCGTGTGTGGAGCCGTGATCAGGGGCAACCAATCGGAAGCCGATTAATCGATGATTGAAAAAGTTGACAACTTTTTCAATAATCGATTATGTCGATTAGTTGTTGCAGCCCTAGAATCAGGGCCTCTTTCCTCCTGCTGGGGATCCCTCTAGTGTTAATATAGATCTATATAGAGGAATCAGGACCTCCTTCCACCTGCTGGTGACCCTTCTAGTGATAGCTAATGATCTATATAGAGGAATCAGGACCTCCTTCCTCCTGCTGGGGATCCCTCTAGTGATAATATAGATCTATATAGAGGAATCAGGGCCTCTTTCCTCCTGCTGGTGATTCCTCTAGTGATAATTAAAGATCTATATAGAGGAGTCAGGACCTCCTTCCTCCTGCTGGAGATTCCTCTAGTGATAATAAAATTCTATATAGAGGAATCAGGACCTCCTTCCTCCTGCTGGAGACCCCTCTAGTGATAATAAAGATCTATATAGAGGAATCAGGACCTCCTTCCTCCTGCTGGAGATTCCTCTAGTGATAATAAAGATCTATATAGAGGAGTCAGGACCTCCTTCCTCCTGCTGGAGATTCCTCTAGTGATAATAAAATTCTATATAGAGGAATCAGGACTTCCTTCCTCCTGCTGGAGATCCCTCTAGTGATAACTAATAACTATTGCACACCTCTGTGTCATCATAAAAAAAAAAACATACCTTCCTGTCAAACCTTCCATTACACTTTATGGACTAAAGTTTGTGAACAGCTGACAATCACAAGCGTGTTGGACATTCCATTCCAGAACCATGGCTATTGATATGGAGTTGCTCTTCCTCCTATGGGCATTCATTTAGAGTTTCCCTCTTTTGGTTTCACTCTTCTGGGAAGGCTTTCCTCAAGTTTTTTTAAGGGTGTCTTCGAGAATTTGTGCCCATTTGTGAAATCAGGTACTGATGTTGGATGAGACACCCAAAGATGTTCACTAGGGTTGAGGTCAGGTACTGATGATGGAGGAGAAGATCTGGCTCACAATCAGCTTTCCCATTCATCCCAAAGTTCTTCAGTAGGGTTGAGGTCAGGGCTCTGTGCAGGACACTCGAGTTCCTCCACACCAAACTGGTCACACTATGTCTTTATGGAGCTGGCTTTGTACACAGGGGGCAGTCATGGTGGAACAGAAAAGGGTCTTCACCAAACTGTGACCACAAGGCTGGAAGAGCACAATTGTCTACAATGTATTTGTATGATGTAATGTTAACAGAACCTTCACTGGAGGCACATGGACTCCATCATTGGGGGGGGGGTCCAAATACTTCTAGCCACATTGGTCTGTGTGATGGCAAATGATCCATATACATTTGGTCATTTAGCTAGGTGTGATGGTCAGGTGTCCACAGAAAGGTAGGTGTGATTATTAGGTATCCATATACAGATAGGTGTGATGGTAAGGTGTCCAAATACAGATAGGTGTGATGGTCAGGTGTCCACATACAGGCATGTGTGATGGTCAGGTGTCCATATACAGATAGGTGTGATAGTCAGGTGTCCATATACAGATAGGTGTGATGGTCAGGTGTCCATGTACAGGGAGGTGTGATGGTCAGGTGTCCACGTACAGGGAGGTGTGATGGAGAGGGTATCCATATACAGGTAGGTGTGATAATCAGGTGTCCAAATACAAGTAGGTGTGATGGCCAGGTGTCCACATGCAGGTAGGTGTGATGGTCAGTTGTCCACATGCAGGTAAGTGTGATGGTCAAGTGTTCACATACAGGCAAGGTGTGATTATCAGGTGTCCACATACAGGCAAGTGTGATAGTCAGGTGTCCATATACATATAGGTGTGATGGTCAGGTGTCCACATACAGGCAAGTGTGATGGTCAGGTGTCCATATACAGATAGGTGTGATGGTCAGGTGTCCGCATACAGGCAAGTGTGATGGTCAGGTGTCCATGTACAGTGAGGTGTGATGGTCAGGTGTCCCCGTACAGGGAGGTGTGATAGAGAGGGTATCCGTAGGTGTGTTAATCTGGTGTCCAAATACAGGTAGGTGTGATGGACAGGTGTCCACATGCAGGTAGGTGTGATGGTCAGCTGTTCACATGCAGGTAGGTGTTATGGTTAGGTGTCCACATGCAGGTAGGTGTGATAGGTGTCCACATGCAGGTAGGTGTGATGGTCAGCTGTTCACATGCAGGTAGGTGTGATGGTCAGTTGTCCACATGCAGGTAAGTGTGATGGTCAAGTGTTCACATACAGGCAAGGTGTGATTATCAGGTGTCCACATACAGGGTGGTGTGACGGTCAGGGTATCCATATACAGGTAGGTGTGATGGTCAGGGTATCCATATAGAGGTAGGTGTGATGGTCAGGGTATCCATATACAGGTAGGTGTGATGGTCAGGTGTCCAAATACAGGTAAGTGTGATGGTCAGATGTCGACGTGCAGGTACAGGTGAAACTCGAATAATTAGAATATCGTGCAAAGTTCATTTATTTCACTAATGCAACTTAAAAGGTGAAACTAATATATGAGATAGACTCATTACATGCAAAGCAAGATAGTTCAAGCCGTGATTTGTCATAATTGTGATGATTATGGCTTACAGCTCATGAAAACCCCAAGAACCCCAAATCCACAACCTCAAAAAAGTAGATTATTACATCCAATCAATAAAACAAGGATTGTACATAGAACAATATCGGACCTCTGAAAAGTATAAGCATGCATATGTACTCAGTACTTGGTTTGGGCCCCTTTTGCAGCACTTACTGCAATTACTTTTGCACGATATTCTAATTATTCGAGTTTCACCTGTAGGTGTGATGGTCGGATGTCCACATACAGGTAAGGTGTGATGATCAGGTGTTCACATACAGGTATGTGTGATGGTCAGGCATCTACATACAGGTAAGTGTGATGGTCAGGTGTCCACATCCAGGTATGTGTGATGGTCAAGTGTCCACATACAGGTAAGTGCGATGGTCAGGTGTCCACATACAGGTGGCTGTGATGGTCAGGTGTTCACATACAGGTAGTTGTGATGGTCCGATGTCCACATACACGTAAGGTGTCATGATCAGGTGTTCACATACAGGTAGGTGTGAAGGTCAGGTGTCCACATACAGGTAAGGTGTGACTGTCAGGTGTTCACATACAGGTAACGTGTGATGATCAGGTGTCACTGTCCACATACATT